TGTAAGGAGCCTCTGGGACAACTTCAGGCGTGCCAACATTCGCATATTGGGGGTGCCAGAAGGAGAAGAGAGGGAACAAGAAATCAAAAACCTATTTGAAACAATAATGACAGAAAACTTCCCTGATTTGGTGAAGGAAACAGACATACAAGTGCAGGAAGCATAGAGAGTCCCAAACAAGATGAACCCAAAGAGGCCCACACAAGACACATCATCATCAAAATGCCAAAGATTAAATACAAAGAGAGAATCTTAAAAGCAGCAAGAGAAAAGCAGTTTGTAACCTACAAAGGAGGTCCCATAAGACTGTCAGCTGATTTCTCAAAAGAAACTTTGCAGGCCAGAAAAGAGTGGCAAGAAATATTCAAGGTGATGAAAAGCAATGACCTACAACCAAGACTACTCTATTCTGCAAAGCTATCATTTATAATCAATGGACATGCTGTGGCAAGTTTGGCTCAGCGGTTGAGCATTGGCCTGTGGACCAGAGAATCCTGGATTCGGTTCCCGCTAGGGCACGTACCACCAAAAATAATAATAATAAAATAAATATATAATCAATGGACATATCAAGAGTTTCCCAGACAAGAAAATGCTAAAGGAGTTCATCATCACCAAACCAGTATTATATGAAATGTTGAAGGGTCTTCTTGAAGGAGAAGAATAAAAATAGGAACAATAAAATGCCAATTAATACATATCTATCAACAATTGCATCTACAAAGAAGATGAGCAAGCAGAACAGAAACAGATTCATAGACACTGAAAACTTTTTGTTGCTTGCCAGATGGGTAGGGACTGGGGGGATGGGTGAAAAAGATGAAGGAATTAAGAAGTACAGATTGATTGTTAGACTGATGAACCTCAGAGGGAAGCAGGGGGAGGGAGGGCGGGATGAGATAAACCAAAGAACTTATATGCATATATGCATTAATATTGAACACCGACAATAGTGTGGGGAAGGCCCTGGCAGCTAATCGATGTGTCTGTCTCACATCGATGTTTCTCTCTCCCGCTTCCACTCTATCTGAAGATATTTGAAAAAATATCCTTGGGTGAGGATTCAAAACCAAAACAAAAATGTGGCATGATCTCTGAAATACGTTAAATGCAAAACAGTGTATATATACTGCCATTTATATAAAAACAAAAGGATATTGTAAGAAGAGAATGAATGTACATATCTGCATGTGTATTCATAAACTAGCTTTGTAAAGACACCAGGAAACTAGTTATATTGGTTGCCTGCAGAGAGGGGGGTAGGACGTACTGTATATGCTTTTGTAGCTTTTAAATTTGGAGCCATGTGAATGTCTTGCCTTTTTAAAATAGTAAAAACAAAATTAAAACAAATATGTAACCTTTGGCTAGACCAGGTTGTGATTTCTAGCAAATAGTGCTAATCTTCAATTTTACTTTCAAAGAATGTCATTGAAAATTTTGTTTTGTTAATGTTGTATTACTGACACTAGTTAGAAATTGTATCACTGTAATCCTGTGAGTGACGTGTATTTTTCCTTCATTGTAGAAATAATTGTTTTAGGGGATCTTAACATTTGTCATGAAAATGAATTGCTTGAGTCAGTTAATTTAACCTTTAGGAATTATTTATTTGACCTTTTAGATATTTAATTTAAAAATAATGTTGCCTGGTTGGTGTGGCTCAGTGGTTGAGCATCGACCCATGTACCAAGAAGTCGCTGGTTCGATTCCCGGTAAGAGTACATTCCCGGATTGTGGGCCCGATCCCCATTTGAGGTGTGCAGGGCGTGGCCAGTCAGTGGTCTCTCTCCATGTTTCTATCTCTCCCTCAACCTTTCTTTCTCTCTGAAAATTAATAAAGAAAAAAATTTTTAAGTAATGTTAACAGCATGAACAGGTTCATGTTCTAGTTCTGCCACTTAATAGCTTGCAACTTTGGGCAGGTAAGCCCAACTTCCTCAGCTTTTTAGTGAAGATAGAATTGTACCTACCTCATGGAGTTTCTGTGAGGATTAAATAAGGTAATTTTATTGGGTAACTTATTTAGTACCTACTGTGTGCCAAACGTTATTCAAAGCATTTTACATAAATGAATTCCTTTAATCCTCATAGCAACCTTATAATGTAGGTAGGTATTATAATTATGTCCATTTTATACTTGAGGAAATCAAAACTAGGAAGTGTGTGGAGCCAAGGTTAAAATCTAGGCACTCAGGCTCTAGACTCCATCTTTTGACCACCTTGCTCTGTTGAACACTTAGCTCACTGATGGCATAGGCACGTTGTGAGACTTCAACAAATTTCGATAATAAATGTAATAAAATAACAAGTGTTACTATATAAAGATTATATATCCATCTAGAAAATATACCTAAATTAAGTCAAAGAAGAATGTAAACCTCATCCTCAACCTGTCAGAAAATTAAAATGTTAGTATTTATATATATATTCATATACTTGAAGAAAATAAAAATGATAACATTTTATAACCTGCTTTGGTCATATGTTAATATAACATGAACTTCTTATTGCTTAATTTGATTTGTTACCTCCTGTTTTATACAAAATGGGTTAAGACACTGTATTACTTGCCATAACTATCCAGATTTGGCATTCTTTTTTTTTATCCTCATCCAAGGACGTTTTTGCATTTATCTTCAGATAGAGCGGGAGAGGAAGGAAGAGAGAGAGAGAAACTTCCATGTGAGAGAGACACATCCAGTGGTTGCCACCCACATGACCCCAACCAGGGCAGGGGACAAACTTCAACTGAGGTAGGTGCCCCTAGCGGGAACTGAACCTGGGTCTCTCTGGTCTGTGGGCTATGCTCTAACTACTGAGCCAAACCAGCCAGGGCCATATTTGGCATTCTTTTGGAAGTGGGCTGAGGAGTTCTTTTGAGTCATTCTTAGGGTTGAAAGGCATTTTATTGATGTAAAAATGGTGTTGTGGAGCATGAATGAATAAGTAATTTAAATCCCTGCCTATATGTAACCTTAGAACTCTTACTAAGGAACTCTTTATTGATATTGGCAACAGAAAACTCTGGCTACAAGAATTTTCAGGAGAAAAAGTCAATCACTGGCCACGAATAAATGGTTTTTTTGTTTGTTTGATTTTTTTTCTCCAACAGACTTTATGGCAATTCTGGGTAAACTTTTGAAATAACCAAAATTTATAGTGTTCAAATACAAAGCAGAACATAAGGATGTAATTGTAAGGAGATACAAAGGTGCATAAGGCATGGCTCTTGTTAACTTGGATGTCATAATAGAGGCAACATGTTTGTGAAATAGATGATCTTAACTGTTGTCATGGTAATACAGAATGCTATGAAAGTTTCTAAAGGAATCCACAGACTCCCTTAGTGCCCTCAAACCCAGATCACCCTGTATTGGCAATAAAAAGAGTGTACACATTAAGGGATATAAAGCTTAATAACCTCAAATGTGACCCACAGGTTTATGTATTCCTTTTAAGGATCTCTTCCCAGTCATTTCTGCCATCCATGTACAACACTCTGGCCCAATCTGGACCTATTACTCTTCACTTTATTCCCCAAAGCCTTGCCAAAACCAGGCTCTGGTGAATTAAACATGTCTTTTCTAATCTTGGAGATTACAAGAAGAAAATAAATAATTACCAACTAGGTAATCTGACTCACTTGCTATACTTCGTTTTCTAGACTCTGTAGGCTCTGTCTCATTTTCGCAAAATCTTGGAAGAGGATAAGGAGCTCACAGTTCTGTAGGCTGCCTTCTGGCCTTCTCAACCAACGTGCATTTCCAATCACAACTTGACTTTTTGAAATTCAAGGCCAAGGAAAAGGAAAACGTCCCCTTTCTCTTTTTAAAAAATTTTTTATTCATTTATTTTTGGTATGTGCCCCTAGCAGGAACCAAACCCGGGACTCTCTGGTCTGCAGGCCGACACTCCAACCGCTGAGCCAAACCGGTCAGGGCCCCTTTCTCTTTAAACTAAAGCCATTTTCAAGTTTCCCATCTATTATTTCATGAGCTATTCTTTCTCTGTAACTGTGGAGACCCCACCCTCTGCCCACTGGAGTATTTCTTGTTCTGTAGGCCCAACATGACAACCACATCGAATATAATTCATTAAGATAAACATTTTTACATAAAATAGAACCAGGGCATAATTTGCGTAAAGACCTTAAAAGTCATGAACAAAAAGATTATTGACATTTTAGTGATGACTTTGAAAACTCCACTTTCCATTTGTATATGTTTAACACTCTTTTTAGAACCAGAAAAATATTCAGATTCATAAGACTACTATGGAAGAACAGTACCAGGCATCCCTTTTTAGTGGCATTTTCCTCGCAGGAATGCATACACCAGTTCAGAGATTTGCTGCCTCTCACCTCCTTTTCCTTCATTTTCTCCAAGTCACAGTTTAGATACAAAGAAACAGTATCCACATAAGGCACATTAGGGAGCCATCCTGGCTTAGAAGTCCCATGCATCACAAACAACACTCTTTTTTTTTTTAATCCTCACCCAAGGACATTTTTCTATTTTTTGTTAAGTAGAGTGGGAGGGAGAGAGAGAGAGAGAGAGAGAGATTGACATGAAAGGGACACATCGAGTGGCTGCCACACGCACGACCAACCAGGGCCGGACAAACAACACTCTTATAAAACTTTCTTGGCATAGCTCCAGTGTCCCACAAAGGACATACCTTATGAGTCACTGCACTCAGAGAAGCCCAAAGCTATAGTTTTCTGCCAGGTAATTGTGTAACTTTTACCATAAGCAATGTTGCCTAATAACATAGCTGATATTCACCTTATCAGGATTCCAAGTCTTTAGAGAAGGAGAGAGAATTTGTTTACTCTTTATCCATAACTTTTCAAAAATATCTTAACAAAGATGATTGTTTTCAAATTTGCCTGAAATAAATGGCTTTGAAGTAACTTCATAATCTTCTGGCCTATATCCTTTTTCATATATGATAAATTTTAGCTTTTCTTCCTTTGACTGTTTTTCCTTTTTTGACAGGTCGAATAAAATATTCTGAACAGGTGTATGATGCATGTATGGATACATTTGACTGTCTTCCTCTTGCTGCCCTCTTAAATCAGCAGTTTCTGTGTGTACATGGAGGGATGTCACCTGAAATTACCTGTTTAGATGACATTAGGAAAGTAAGTAATCTTTCATTATTCTCATGGGAGGTATATATATATATATTTTTTTTTAATATTTTTTATTGATTTTATAGAGAGAAGAAGGGAGAGGGAGAGAGAGAGAAACATAACATTAATTGGTTGTCTCTTACATGCCCCAACTGGGGATTGAGCATGAAACTCGGGCATGTGCCCTGACTGGAATCCAACTAGGGACCTCACAGGTTCATAGGACAATGCTCAACCAACTAAGCCACACTAGATAGGGCTCTATATATTTTTTATTTTTTTTAAGAGCAAGTGGAAGGAAGGGAAGAGAGAGAGAAACATTGGTGTGAGAGAGACAAATCGATTGTTTGCCTCCCACACGAGCCCCAAGCTGGGGATCAACCTGCAACCCAGGTATATGCCCTTGACCAGGAATCAAATCTGCAACCCTTCAATGTATAGGCCAATGCTCTAACCACTGACCCACACTGGCCAGGGCAAATTGCTGAATATTTTTAAAAACAGATAATCAGAAGTAAGAAAATGGCAATCACCTGTGATTTCCTTATTGGGAGATAACTCCTATTAATATTTTGCTATATATCTCTCAGAAATTTGCTATAATTTTTAATGAAATCTGTGCTTTTACCAACTAGAGATATAACATTTTTTCTACAATATTCCTGAAACTTTAAATTTTGTAGCACTGTGCCCTGGCCGGTTTGGCTCAGTGGTTAGAGCGTTGGCCCGCAGACCAGAGAGACCCTGGTTCAGTTCCTGCTAAGGGCATGTACCTCGGTTGCAGTTTGTCCCCGGCCCCGGTTGGCAGCCAGTCGATGTGTCTCTCTCACATCAATGTTTCTCACTCTCTCTCCCCCCCCTCTCCCTCCCACTCTACCTGAAGATGAATGCAAAAATGTCCTTAAGGTGAGAATAAAAAAAAAAAATTTTTTTTGTAGCATTGCATAAGGAAGGAAACCAGGATTCTAATCCCTATCCTGCCATTAATTGTGTAAACTTGACCAAATCACGTAACCTTTTAGTCATAGTTTCTTCTCTGAAATAGAGTGAATGGTCTGAAGACTTTAGCTCTGAAATTCATTGACTTTGACATTTGTTTTCTTGTTGTTGTTGTTGTCGTTATTATTATTATTTTTAAAGGGTGGGCATGGGCATGCTCCTGGGAAGGAGAGCATGAGCTGGGTTCTTTGTTGAGACTTTTATTTCTCTCTCTCTTTTTTTTTATTGTCACCCAAGGACATTTTTGCCTTTATCTTCAGATAGAGCGGGAGGGAGAGAGAAGAAGAGAGAGAGAGAAACATCGATGTGAGAGAGACACATCGAGTGGTCACTACCCACACGACCACAACCAGGGCTGGGGACAAACTGCAACTAAGGTATGCGCTCTTAGTGGGAACCGAACCTGGAACTCTCCGGTCTGTGGGCTGACGCTCTAATCGCTGAGCCATACCAGCCAGGGCTATTATTATTATTATTTTAATACTTAAGGATATTTTTCCATTGATTTTTTCCAGATAGAGTGGGAGGGAGGGAGGGAGAGAGAGAGAGAAAAATACCGATGTGAGAGAGACACATCGATTGCTTGCTTCCTACACGACCCTGACCCAGGCCGGGGATCAAACCCTTAACCGAGGTCCCTGCCCTTGACTAGGAATCAAACCCATGGCTCTTTTTTCTGATGGCTGACACACTAACTGCTGACCCAAACCGGCAAGGACATTGACTTTGACATTTCTAAGTGATGGAGTTTAACTGCTTCATTTTCAGAATTCTGTATCTTCATAATTGAAAAAAGATGACCAGTTTTTTTTCACTTATATTGTTCTACATTACCATCATTATTACTCTACCTTTGTATATCTCACCTCTCTCATACAGGTACTAAAGTAAAGATTTTTCTGTTTGTAAAACTGGTTATTCTCCTTAGAGTAAAAGGCATGTCTGTATGCACTGCCCTTTTTGCCACTTTATTGTCTTTTAAATAACCACCATTTCTCTTTTACATAGTAAGTCTTGAATTTTATAATTCTGAATTGATATTATTAATCAGTTTCACTTAGAAATTCTATTCTTGGCACTCAGCTATTCTAGTTATTTGTTTTTGTTGTTGTTTTGTTTTTATGCTTTTAACCACAGCAGCAGTGACTAAAGGCTAAATTAATAACTTACATTGACATGCCTCCATTGCATAGGATGAAAGCTCTTTACAAAATAAAACTAGCATGCTTTAAAGTAAATAAATCTCCATTGGAATGAGGTAAACAACAAATAGAACCACTGTAAAACCCTTCCTACTCTCATGGTAACATTGGCTCACCTAGGCAGTTGAAACAAACTTCTTTCTTTCTTTATTAAATTTTTTTTTAATCCTCACATGACATTTTTCCATCTTTGTTCAGACAGAGTGGAGGGGGGAGAGAGGGAGAGAAAGAGAGAGAAAGGGAAACACCAATGTGAGAGGGACACATCAACTGGTTGCCTTCCGTGTGACCCCGTGCAGGGCCAGCGACAAACTGCAACTGAGGTACATGCCCTTGGCTGGAATTTAACGTACAACTCATCAGTCTACGGGCGGATGCACTGATCGCTGAGCCAAACCGGCCAGGGCTATTAATTATTTTTTTATTTTAACTGTTGAAAGCATTACAGATGTTCCTCTTTTTGTCCTCCATTGACCCCACCTTCCTGCTCCCACCCTCTCTCCTGCTTTTTCAAAACTATTGTCTGTGTCCGTGAAATGAACTTATTACAGTCTTTCTAAATAATAGTACGTCCCTTTCTAATTAAATGAGTATATACTGCTTGTAAGGTTAGGATATAAGGGGTCCTTTTCTACAGAAAGGTTAGATTACAGAGATATTTATTAAAAAGTACAGGGTGGGGCAAAAGTATGTTTACATAGCATAGATAAGCACAGTACTTACCTCTCACAACCACATTAAAATTACAACTAAACTACAGAATAACCATCATTCAGAACCATCTGAAATCTAGTTGAATGAAAGTTCTACAACTAGGGAATTAAAGAAGAAGCAACATAAAGACTGGTTTGAAGAGTGGAGACATGGAGTCAGCTGGTCCCACACCCACATGTAGCAGATAAACATTGGGAGGGATATCTTGGCTGCAGCAGTCCCCACTCCCCCATCCCAGGGTTGTAGTGCCAGGAAGAGAAGTCCCTATAACTTCTGTCTGTAAAACCAGCAGGGACTGAGGCTGAGGGAGACAGAGTGCTGTTAGAGTCCTATACCATTCTTAAAGGTCCCATGCATGGACTTACTCCAACTCACTCCCTTTGAGCTCCACAGCTGGGACAGCAGCTTGAAAGACACCAGAAACTGAATTGTCCAGCATCAAGCAAGAGCTGGGGAGCAGCTTTCTCCTAGACCAGCAGTTCTCAACCTGGGTCACGACCCCTTTGGGCATCGAGTGACTCTTTCACAGGGATCGCCTAAGACCATCGGAAAACACATATTACTGAAGGTCTTAGGAACTGAGACACCACTCCTCTATCCTTCTCCAGGTGGGTCCGCCCATTTGCAAATACGCCCACATGCAAAATGAGAAACTGTATTAAAGGGTCACGGCACTAGGAAGGTTGAGAACCAATGTCCTAGACAGAAGTGCTGACAGAGGCTGTTGTTCCTTCTCTGAGCCCTCCCCACACAGAGCCAGCAGGTGGGCTCCATATCTGAGATTCCATCAAACTGGTTCATGCTGTTTGCCTCACTCTGGTGATTTCCTGAGGCCCTGCCCCACTCAACTTTCAGGCCACCCAAGTTGTTTCCAGTGGATTTTCTATAAGAATGGCCTGTCTTGACTCATGCTTTAAATTTTCTTAAAATCTCTCAAACAGCCCTGGCCAGTTTGGCTCAGCGGTTAGAGCGTCGGCCTGCGGTCCGGAGAGACCTGGGTTCGGTTCCCGCTAAGGGCACGTACTTCGGTTGCAGTTTGTCCCCGGCCCTGGTTGGTCGTGCGGGTGGCAGCCACTCGATGTGTCCCTTCACGTCGATGTTTCTCTCTCTCCCTCCCTCCCACTCTATCTGTACAAAAAATGGAAAAATATCCTCAGGTAAGGATTAAAAAAAAAAAATCTCTCAAACAAGCAGTACCTGGCCTCAGCATGCCCTGAACCTCTTACTAAGTGGCCCCAGGCCTGGCATTAGCAGCAGCTGGCCTTAGTTTGCAGCTTGACCTCCCCTGGGCACCACTTCAAGCCCAGCACAAGTATCAGCCACCTGCAGATTGCTTTGTAGCTCATGTGTGGTATCCCTGAACAGAATGTAGGCAGGAGCTGAACTTGGCCTGCATCTCCCAGGAGGCTCCAGAGCTAGTGCACCCAGTGTGTACAGCTTCAGACCACATCAAAGCATCACCACACAACCACCTCCCCAAGCGACATACTGCAGAAGCAGACTCAGTGGCCTGCTCTGTGGGGTGAGCTCCTGCCCAGCTGATCCTCTGAGGTGCGTGGTGGTTGGTGGTTGCAGCTTGCAGCCAGTCCTTGCAGTTGATCAACTTGGGAGTAAATCCCTCCCACTGACATTCCAACAGCAATCGAGGCTCAACTATAAGAGTAGAGTATACACAGCTCACACAGGGGTTGGGGGGAGGATATACTTTGAGTGCCCAGCTTGGGTGATTGGAGGAGGCTATGCCACGGGACCCTACAGAACACCTGTGACGTTAGGCCACTCTACCAAGCCTGGGAAATATAGCAGGTTTACCTAATACATAGAAACAAATGCAGGGAAGCAGCCAAAATGGAGACAGGGAAACATGTCCCAAATAAAAACAAAACTCCAGAAAAAGAACTTAACAAAATAGAGACAAGCAATCTAGTAGATGCATAGCTCAAAACACTTTTTATAAGGATGCTCAATGAACTTAGTGAGAATCTCAACAGCATAAAAAAGGAGCAGTCAGAAATGAAGAACACACTAACTGAAATGGAGAATAATATACAGGGAATCAACAGTAGAGAAGATGAAGCCAAGAATCAAATCAGCAATTTGGAATATAAGGAAGTAAAAAGCACCCAATCAAAACAGCAAAAAAAAAAAAAATGAGGATAATGTAAGGCGCCCCTGGGACAACCTCATGCATACCAACATTTGCATCATGGGATGTCAGAAGGAAAAGAGAGAGAGCAAGAAATGAAAAACCTGTGGAGAAATAACAGAAAATTTCCTGACCTGGTGAGGGAAATAAACATACAAGTGCAGAGTCCCAAACAAGATGAACCCAAAGAGGCCCACACCAAGACATCATAATTAAAATGCAAAAGGTTCAAGACAAAGAGAGAATCTTAAAAGCAGAAAGAGAAAAGCAGTTAGTTACCTACAAGGGAGCTGCCATAAGACTGTCAGCTAATTTCTCAACAGAAACTGCAGGCCAGTAGGGATTGGCAAGAACTGTTCAATATGATGAAAAGGAAGGACCTACAACCAAGATTACTCTGCCCAGCAAATCTGTTATTTAGAATCAAAGGGCAGCTAAAAGGTTTCCCAGACAAGAAAAAGCTAAAAGACGTAAACACCACCAAACCAGTATTATGTTTGTTATGTGAAATGTTAAAAGGTCTTTAAGAAGAAAGAAAACGATAAAAAATATGAACAAGAAAATGGCAATAAATACATACCTATCAACAATTGCATCTAAAAATCAAAATAAATTAACAAGCAGAACAGAAACAGACTCATAGATACAGAGAACATTTTGACAGATGCCAGATGGGAGATGGGTTGTGGGGGGAGGGTGAGAAAGGTAAAGGGATTAAGAAGTAAAAATTGGTAGTTACAGAATAATCATGGGGATGTAAAGGAAAGAACACCATTGGGAATATTGTCAATAATATTCTAATGACTGTATGGTGTCATATGGGTGTGAGATTTATTAGTATGATCACTTAGTAAGTTATGTAATGTCTAATCACTGGGGTGTACACCTGAATGTCAACTATAATTGAAAAATAAAAGTGATTTAAAATGGGGATAAAAAGACATTGGGTAGCTGAGTGAATAAGAAAACAGGACCCATACATATACTGCCTACAGAGTCCCACTGCATATTGAAAAAGATGCATACAACCTAAGTGTCCATCAATAGATGAATGGATAAATAAGTGGTACATATACACAATGGAATATTACTCAGCCATAAAGAATGAAATCTTGCCATCTGCAACAACATAGGTGGACCTATAGGGTATTATGCTAAGTGAAATAAGTCACACAGAGAAAGACAAATAGCATATCATTTCACTTATATGTGGAATCTAAAATAAAAAATAAATAAACAAAACATATAAACTTATAGATACAGATAACATTTTGATGGTCACCAAATGAAGGGTGGATTAGGGGAATGTGTGAAAAGGGGGAAGGGATTTAGAAGTACAAATTGCCCTGGCCAGTTTGGTTCAGCGGTTGATCATCGGCCTGAGGACCAAGGGAGTCCCAGGTTCAGTTCGTGCTAGGGGCACGTACCACAAAGAAAAAAAAAAAAAATCAATTAGAAGTACAAATTGGCCCTACAGGTGTGGCTTACTGGTTGAACATTGACCAGTGTACCCAGAGGTCACTGGTTTGATTCTCAGTGAGGGCACATGCCCAGGTTGAGGGCCCAGTTCCCAGTGGGGAGTATGCAGGAGTCAGCCAATCAATATTCTCTCTTATTGATGTTTCTAACTCTCCCCTCCCTTCCTCTCTCTCTAAAATCAGTAAAGAAAAAATATTAGCCTGGTCGGTGTGGCTCAGTGGTTGAGCATCGACCCATACACCAAGAGGTCACCTGTTTGATTTTCGGTCAGGACACATGCCCAGGTTATAGCCCCAATACCCAGTGCGGGGCATGCAGGAGGCATCAGTCGATGTTCTCATGGATGGTTTTCTCTCTCTCTTTCTCTCACTTCCTCTATCTCTAAAATAAATAAAGGAGAAAAAAATTTTTTAAAAGTACAAATTGGTTAAAAATAGTCATGGGGATGTAAAGAACAACATAGGGAATATAGTCAGTCTTATTGTGATAACTATATATGGTGTCAGATGGTTACTAGATTTATTGGGGTGATTACTTTGTAAGTTATATAAATGTCTAATCATTATGTTATACACCTAAAACTAATATAATATTGTATGGCAACTATAATTGAATAATAAAAAGTTATTTTAAAAATTCAATGAATAAAATAAAAGGTAGATTTACAGTTGTGAGTACATGAAACAATTTATTCTTGTATTATTATTTATTAATTGTATTATTTTCTATACTAATAACTGTATACCTACTTTTACCCCACCCTGTATTATAAAAAAATGATTAAAATTTTGTATCTAACTTTGTTAAGTGTTCAGTTTCTTGCAGGAAAATCCTTTAGGGGCTTGTTGCCTTCTCTCCTAATACATTCTTGTGGGTGAAAGTGTTTGTTTGTTTGTTTGTTTTCAACCCACACCAGTTTTCAAAAGCTCTTTTGCTTTCATGATATTTCTTTTGGATTTTGCTTGTCTTCTAGTTAGACAGGTTTAAAGAACCTCCAGCCTTTGGGCCAGTGTGTGACCTGCTTTGGTCTGATCCCTCAGAGGACTATGGCAATGAAAAGATCTCAGAGCACTATATGCACAACACTGTCCGAGGGTGCTCTTATTTTTACAGGTAAGCTGATCCTCAGATAAAGTTGGGAAAGGAATTGGAAATGTATTTAATCAAATTATTTTAAGGGATTCCAAAATGGCAGCAGAGTGAATGGAAGCTACACAGACCATCTCCCAGGACCAAACTGGAATTACAACTAAAATAAAGACAAATTGTTGGGAAAAATAAACAGAAAAGCATTTGGAGAGGACCCATATTACCATGGACAGAAAGAGGACACTAAGTTGAGCCTAGTGGGAACTGCAGGTGCAAGAGAGGGTGGGCTGGGAGCCCACAAACAGCTGCTGTTTTAGCTGTGAACAGCTCCCTTGGTTAAAATCCCAGGCCGGCTCCACAGCACAGAGGGCTGGTACGGGGCTCCAGCAGAGGGAGGGTGGACAACTGGATGCTATGGAGAGACTCAGGAGCTTGGAGAGCTGGGATGGCATGGGAGTTTTATTCTGAATCGCTCCCTCATAGGACATACTACTCAAAGTGCCCCTTTCCATAGCCCAGGGGAAAGGCAACAGCTCCTCCCTCAGGAATTTAACACCACCCAGACAGGACAGAGAAATGCAAATTGAGGCTCATTAATAGCCAGCAACCATCTGCCCCACCCACTGGAAATCTTACCCTGAACACCTGAGGGACTTTTTCATTCGGTTGAAGGTTACAACCCAAGTCTCATCAAGTAACTGAGACTAATAGCTTCCAGGCAAAAGGCTAAAGGATAACTGAACCTTTCCTGGGCTTGCAAATCTACCCAGGAAAGAAAGACCTGACAGTGGTGTTTAATGTGGGTCCTCCCACACTCATTCAAACCCAGTAGAGGGAGCCACAACCAGTGGAACACCAACACCCACAGGGAAAATTTGACAGGCTCCAAAACTTAATGAGACAGCCAAAATGGTGAAACAAAGAAACAAATCCCAAATGAAAGAACAAGATAATTCGACAGAAGATGAAATACAAGGAATTGAACAAGAAATCAGAGGGAGAGTTCAGAGTAATAATCATGAGGAAGCTCAACAGCATGAATAAAGATAATAGAAGCATTGAAAACTAACCAATTGGAAATGAAGAATGACATAGCAGAAACAAAAAAACACATTGGAAACAATAACCAGCAGAGTAGAGGAAGCTGAAAATCAGATCAGTGATTTAGAAGACAGAAAGAAATTGTCCAATCAGAGAACCAAAATGAAAAAACAGGAAGACAGTCCTACCCGTGTGCTCGATGGTTGAGTGTCGACCCATGCACCAAGAGGTCGCCAGTTTGATTCCTGGCCAGGACATATGCTCAGGTTGTGGGCTTGATCCCCAGTGGGGGGCATACAGGAGGTGGCCAATCAGTGTTTTCTCTCATCGATGTTTCTATCTCTCTCTAAAATCAATAAAGGACCTCTCGGGTCCTCGCTTCCAAGATGACCAAGAAAAGAAGGAACAACGGTCATGCCAAAAAAGGCTGCGGCCATGTGCAGCCTATTCGTTGCACCAACTGTTGCCCAATGCATGCCCAAAGACAAGGCCATTAAGAATTTCGTCATTTGAAACATAGTAGAGGCCGCAGCCATTAGGGACATTTCCAAAGCAAGTGTCTTTGTCGCCTATGTGCTTCCCAAGCTGTATGTGAAATTACATTACTGTGTGAGCTGTGCCATTCACAGCAAGGTAGTCAGGAAAAGTTCTCGTGAAGCCCTGAAGGACTGAACCCCCACCCCGGTTTAGACCTGCGGGTGCTGCCCCACGACCTCCACCAAAGCCCATGTAAGAAGCTAAGTTTAATGACTGAAGAAAAGTTCTCTGGGAAAAAAAAAAATGGAAATTGTACTTTGAAAAAATAAATAGATAAAATCAATAAAAGAAATAAAAATTTTTTTTTTTTTTTTAGATTGGGAGGGAGAGAGACATCGATGTGAAAGGGACACATCGAATGGCTGCCTCCCACCTGACCCAACCAGGGCCAGGGACAAACTGCAACCGAGGTACACGCCCTTAGCAGGAACCGAAACTGGGTCTCTCCAGACCGCAGGCCAATGATCTAACTGCTGAACTAAATCGGCCAGGGCAAAAAAAAAATTTTTATAAACAGCAAAAAACAGGAAGACTGTCTAAGAGAACTGTGGAACAATATGAAACTTAACAAAATCCGCATCATAGGAGTTCCAGAAGAAAAAGAAAATGAGCAAGGGTTAGAGAATATATTTGAAGCAATAGTGACAGAAAACTTTCCTAACTTGGTGAAGGAAAAGATATACAAGTACAGGAAGCACAGAGAGCCCCAAGTAAGAAGAATCCAAACAGGCCCATACCAAGACACATAATAATAAAAATGCCAAAAATTAAAGACAAACAGAGAATCTTAAAGGCAGCAAGAGATAAGCAACAGGTTACCTACAAAGGCACCCCATAAGGCTTTCAGCTGACTTCTCAGCAGAAACACTACAGGCCAGAAGGGAATGGCATGAAGTAATCAAGGTCATGAAAAACAAGGATCTGAATTCAAGACTACTCTATCCAGTAATGCTGTCATTCAAAACAGAATGTGAACTAAAGAGCTTCCCAGCCAAAAAGGGTCAAAGGGAATATATTAGCACCAAACCAGCATTTCAAGAAACGTCAATAGGACTGCTGTAATAAGCAGAAGAAATAGGAAGAGAAACAGAACTATAATAAAAATGGCAATAAATAAGTGCATATCAATAATAACCTTAGCCCTGGCCGGTTTGGCTCAGCGGTTGGAGTGTCGACCTGCGGTACAGAGAGACCCGGATTCGGTTCCCGCTAAGGGCACGTACCTCGGTTGCAGTTTGTCCCCGGCCCTGGTTGGTCTTGCGGGTGGCAGCCACTCAATGTGTCCCTTCATGTTGATGTTTCTCTCTCTCTCTCTTCCTCTCTCTCCCTCCCGCTCTATCTGAACAAAAAATGGAGAAAATGTCCTCGGGTGAGGATAATAAAAAATAATAATAATAACCTTAAATGTAAATGGATTAAAAAGGCTCCAATCAAAAGACACAGAGTAGCTGATTGGATAAGAAAGCATGACTCATCTATATGTTTACAACAGGCCGACCTCACAACAAAAGACTCACATAGGTTGAAAGTGAAGGGATAGAAAAAAATCCTCCAAGCAAATGGAAAGGAAAAAAGAGCTGAGGTAGCAATACTCATATCTGATAAAATAGACTTCAAAATGAAGGCCATAACTAGAGACAAAGAAGGCCATTACATAATATTGAAAGGATCTATCCAACAGAAAGATACAACCTTGGTAAAAATATATGCACTCAACATAGGAGCACCAAAATATATTAAAAACTTCTGGAGGGCCCTGGCCAGTTTGGCTCAAGGGTTGGAGCCTGCGGACAAAAGAGTCCCAGGTTTGATTCCGGCCAAGAGCATGTACTTCGGTTGTGGTTTGTCCCCGGCCCTGGTTGGGTTTGTGCAGGTGGCAGCCAGTCAATGTGTCCCTCTGAAATCGATGTTTCTCTCTCTCTCACTCCATCCCTCTCTCCCACTTTATCTGAAGATAAATAGAAACATATCCTCAGGTGAGAGGATATAAACAAACAAAAAACACACAAAAACATTTAAACACATGGAGGTTAAATAGCATGTTATAATACAATGAATATGTTACCAAGGAAATCAAGAGAGAAATTGAAACCTTCCGGGAAACGAATGAAAATGAACACACAACACAAAATTTATGGGACACAGTGAAAACAGTCCTGCGAGGGAGTTGAGAACACTATAGACCTACCTCAGGAAGCAATAAAAATTTCTAACTGACTATCTAACCTCACAATTTGAAGAACTAGAATACAAACAAAAAGAAAAGCCCAGAGCAAGTAGAAGGAAAGAAATAGTAATGATCAGAGCAGAAATAAATGACGTTGACTTCTGGTCAAGATGACGTTGTAGATAAACGTAGTATTAAATGCGGTGTAGGTAAATTGCGTCCTCCCACAACCACATCAAAATTACAACTAAACTACAGAACAACCATCATTCAAAACCGCCTGAAATCAAGCTGAATGGAAGTCTTACAACTACAGAATTAAAGAAGAAGCCGCATGGAGACTGGTAGGAAGGGTGGAGGCCCGGAGGCGGGACAGGGCTGGCCCCACACCCACGTGTGGCGGATAAAAATTAGGAGGATACCTCGGCTGGGAAGGTACTCCCTGAGCACTCAGGGGTCTCCGTCTCACACCAGGCGCGCTCCTTAGGGTTCCAGTGCCAGGAAGAGAAGTCCCCATAACTTCTGGCTGGAAAATCCAGTGGGAACTGAGGCTCAGGGAGGCTAAGGCAGCTGGAGCCCTAGGCAGCTCCTCTTAAAGGGCCCACGCATGGACTTACTTGGACTTGTTCCCTCTAAGGTCAGAGGGGAGGCAGCTTGAGTGGCGCCAGAGACATATGGGGAAGAACTGAGCTGTTTGGCATTGGAGAGGGGGCTTTCTCCTGGACAGACGTGCTGTCAGAGGTCTTTGTTCCTTTGGTGAACTCTTCCCTGGGGCGGCAGACAGCCGCCATATCTGGAACTCCAGCAACCTGTTTGCCTCACCCTGGTGATTCCCTGAGGCCCTGCCCCACCCAACTTTCAGGCCCACCCAAGCTATTGCCAGTTGGTTAACTATAGGATTAGCCTGTCTTGGATCCTGCTTCAGGTTTTCCTAAATTCTTTCAAACAAGCAGCATCTGGTCTCAGCTAGCCCCATACCTTTCGTTAAGTAATACATAGAAACAAACACAGGGAGGTAGCCAAAATGAGGAGACAAAGAAACGGGTCCCAAATGAAAGAACAGAACAAAACCCCAAGAAAAGAACTAAGCAAAATGGAGATAAGCAACCTAACAGATGCTGAGTTCAAAATACTGATTATAAGGATGCTCAATGAACTTAGTGAGAACCTCAGTGAACTTAGGCCCTTAAGAGCATAAAAAAGGACCAGTTAGAAATGAAGGATGCACAGTCAGATATGAAGGAGGCACTAACTGAAATAAATAATTTACACAGATTTA